GGGTTCCCCCCTAAAGAAACCATAGTAGTGGCAATGGCTTGTAGAAATAAAATGACATTAGTATTAAATGATTCCTGATGCAATTGGAATTCACGACTACCTGTTATACGGTAGATGCATTTTTTGAGTTACGTCTATAATGTTAATTTATTAAATTTCTATATTGACGCTATATTATGCAATTAATGTGACCTTCGTAAATTCAACCACACGGTGTTAATAATACCGGATTAAACCGCACCATGTATTGTTATTATACAGTAGTCATTTTGTCCTTCGTGAGCTACTGTACTTTGCGATGAAGTTCTCAGGCAATATAGGAAAGAATAACAGTTTTTGATTACATATTATTTTGGTGATTTTCTGCCTACACATGAGTCTATTTTTTTCGATTAGCTTTACATAAAGCTATAAATGCAATTTTACAGATACACTTTTGAAAATAAAACACAACCGTTCACATCTCTGATATCTACCCTGTTTGACTTGAAGAGTTGCAGGTTACCTTTTTTCTCTCTCGAAATACACAAAACAGTACACAATAATGCGAATTAAGATTTTACGTTTACTTGTAGCGGTGATGATAACAATGCACATCAATGCTGGTGTTAAGCCTATGGGTTTAGTGGCCGCGGAAAGTAATTCCGAGTGGAACCGAAATCATTTTGAAGACATTGGTGACAAAGAGCTTAAACAGCTAAAGCAGAAATCAGTGATATCCAAACGGAGCTTTCAGACAATTGAACAAACCGGGATAGGAGAGATGACGTCTGATCAACCTGATTTTACTACAACTACTTTTACCACTACTAGTACTACTTTGGAAAACCAAGGATTAACACAAACTTTATCGAAAGATACGCCCATAGCACGGGAAGCAGCAAAAGAGGAAATTAGCGATATCGAACCAACACTAACTGTCGCTTCTTCATCAAAACACCTTTTTGATGCTTTTTCTATAGTTGGACTATTGAGTGGAGTGTTACTGTTAGTTGTCATATTATTAGCGATTTATTGGCAAAATCGTAAAGTTACCAAATTTATGGAAACAAACGCGTCAACGGATACGGATGAAACTACACACATCATAATGGACGATAATACGCCTACATCGGAGGCCGGTGTCGAAACGTCAGGTAGGCCTAGGCCTATATATGCCGTTCCTCATAAGCCTATTCCAAATGTCTACAGAAAATCTGTGATAGATATCACGACAGGGGAGGTTGTTTCAAGCTTGATAGTTGATGATTCGGATGAGTTTGAACTTAATTGGCAAAGTCAGAGAAGTAATTACAGATAGAACAAAAAATAATGACCAATTTGTAAACTTCGGTAACCATAACGTAGGAAACTTGAGATCAATATTGAACTATAGATGACGCAATTTCCCATTCATTGTACACACTGAATATTGTATTGGGCTTGGTGAGATTATAGCTGAGATCAATCACAATCTTAATAATATCGTTTTATATATATATAAACTTTATAATATTCACGAAAACAAGTACAGTAGTACACACTCATTCAATCAAGATTGTTTTTACACTAATGAATATAATGGTAAAATAATATTTATTTATGTTCATATTATTTCCTTTTTGCAAAACTATTCCTCACAGATATAATATTCATATTATATTTAATTTTATTCAATAATGATCTGAATACTGCATTGTGTTATACAATATCATTACTACGTATATGCGTTACGTGTTGGCGTTAATAAATATTTAATGTTGCTTCATGAGTATCATCAGCATTAGTCGTTTTTCTATTCTTCCGTGTCATGCATGGTTTTATTTTTAGGTTTTAAATTTTATTTTAATAAAGTAAATTGTTAAGATGGAATAAACCGAAATGTATAACAATGAAATGTTATTTTGTATTATTTTAACAAAGATTGTTTGTATTCCATTAATGCATCGACTAAGATAGTGGTCAACCCGTTCCATTAAACTGTACCTTTATTACTCGAGGCTTTACATTCATAATTAATACGAGTCAAGACCAGATAGGCGGCCTAAGGAAGCCCTAGAACAACTATCAACAAAGATTCGCACCCAGGCCTTCTGTTGTTGCCTATGAAGACTTTTAAACCAATTGAACGAATGGAACTCAAGTATAGGCAACTAAATTTACACTATTTGCATATGCGTTGAATAGTGGGGAAGCACTAGACGATCTAATATACAAATAGCATCAATACTATACGCCATTTAAGCATCTGGAATGACAAGACAGGATCTTGGATGGCTACTTGAAAATGAACCATGATACACGTTAAAGATAATATTTAAACCGTTTTGTAATAATGCTGTATATTTATTTATTTAAAGTGTAAAGTTAAGGAAGAAGCATCTGCTTGAGTGAAAATATTTGGTCTTAACAAACTGGAAAACTGGATTTAGGAACCAGATTATATTGGTGATAAGATTCATGATAGTGCTGCATTGATAGTTGACTCAAACATACCTGGGTATTGTCAATCAAATAGCGCGAATCGACGGTCTGGTAATGTATTGCCACTGTCTCTTATACACATCTCAGTTGGGTCTTTCAAACTTCAGAACAATTAACAACGATTGAAACATAATAAACACAATTACATTCGTAGACAAGGTAGTTAATTGATAACTGATTACTTATTTAATTAATATACCAAAATATTGTTTGAGAATGCCTTAATTCAGTGTCCCATTGATCCTAGCTCTTCGGATAAGAATTGTTGATATTTTGTGTGCATATAAATATATGGCTAATGAAAATAAATAAATTAAAGCCCCATTCCAGGTAAAACTTCACTAAAAACAGATTTTTTTTATAGAAAAGATGCATATGCATTACTCCAATTATTATAAATTTACGCAAAAGAATAGAGAAATACAGACTATTTCTCATAGAATATTACCATTTTCTTGACGAATTCTTCGTTACTAGGAAAATTCGGAGGTTGTAGATCGCATCCCCTGGAATACTCTCGCTTTTATGTATACTTTGTACAGTCAATAAAGTGCGCCCTCTCTAATGGGATTATGTTTTGTACTTTGCATCTCGCACAATGCGGTTGTTCGAGTAGGTCTGAAATGTTTGTTTAAGTGTCAAAATCTCGGTCAGAATCAGTTTTTTTACAAATTTGAAATAATTCCTATGAAATATTATATTTCACAAGTGTCAATACTAGCAACGGAAAATATTATGTCGGCCGTTTCAATGTGTGATAACAGAACCTAAATCGAGGTAAAGCTAGCAGTGTTGGATAAGCTAAGGTTTTCGGCGCCTACTATATTTCTTCGCACGACCTATCGCAAAATCAAACATGAAAAATTCATCTGCATTTATTTTTTGTGTGGAACACCAAAAAAAAATCAAATTTCAGTCTTATTTTACATTTTTTCATGCTTAGGAATGTCAAAATTTAGTTAAACTAGCAATTCCGTATTATGTTTATAAATCTTTTTAACATTATACAAAAATTAAATTTTTCTTAACAACAGAGATTTTGCCGGGAATGGGGCTTTAATTAATTAACATTGCTGGATAGCAACATGCTATAGTACTAATAACTGAAAATGAGGGTTGCAGAGGGGCCCGAATATAATAGAGTTGTTAAAAAAAAAATCTGAGCCTTCACTCTGCTTTCGCCAGCCTTCCATGGCTTTTGGCTAAGATAAAACCTTAATTATCACTATTGGCATTTCGTCAAGTCTAATTTTGGAACCATTCCCATAATGTATTAACTTGTTTTAAAAACCCCATCCTTATACTATAAATTCAATTATGTCTACTTCCTCCTATTAAATGTTTCGTGAATAGTTTCAAAGAATATTACGCTATTGTTAAGGATTTAAAAGGAATATTATTCCAAACATATGGGCATTTGATATTCATTTCTTGACCTCCAAGTTTATTAACGTTTATATAGTAGCAGATATTGCTCATGTTTTGCAGTGTAAATATAGACGCGCCAACATTTCTACGTCTCTACGGATTTAAACACGATGTTATGTTCCTACTGCTGAGTTCACGGCACGCGCTAAAAGACGGATATATGTTATTGGCAAACTTAACTGGATCATGATGAAACAGAACGCACCCATCAACGTCGAACTCTACTCGACTTTGCATTTGTCTGAAAATCTTATATTAATACTAATTTATTTGTTCTGTACGTGACTTGGACATTCCGTTTCCTATATGTACGTCGTGAGGTGAGGTCGCTTAGTTATAGTTTGTAGTAGTAGCGTAAAGCAGAAATGTACATATTATTATTGTTGTAGCAAAACGAACAGAAAGTGACGTCATTAATCGTGCTTTACAATTAAAGAAGTTGACGCGTGACCCTGTCAATTAATCAGTGGCTGCTTGTATTTTGGCTTCGACATTCGTTTAAAAAATCTGGGTACAGAGCAGTCGCTAAAACTGATGGAGTGTGATACACGATTTACATGGATTATTGTTCTGTGTTTGCTTTGCAAACTGGCGATTGTTGACGGCATTTTACTATTGAAGGGCCCCGAAGATAAAACCGTTTACGAAGGTGATACAGTCACATTCGAATGCACCGTCGCTTCTAAGGGAGGTATTCAAATACTATGGGTTTTTGGTAGGGCAAGTTTTATCAGTGTTGACACAAAAATATTAAGTTATATGGACCACGGATTAAATACACGTTCCTCAATTATTAATGGTTTTGAAGGTCAGTATAAACTTCAGATTTCGAACGTTTCGATGTCCGACGAAGGTACATTTGGGTGCTACTATTCACAACATGGATCGACAGGAAATTTTAGTGAACATGGTGAGGCTAGACTGACGGTTTTAAAATTTGGAACGCGTAGTCCAGTCTGCAGTGTACAAAATTCCGATTTACCAAGGAGACCCTATCAGAAATTAGTTTTAAACTGTTTAAGCGCAAGCAAGAACTTTACCGTAAAATGGGATAATGGGACAGATAGCATGACACGGTTTCATTACGGTTGGCAAAACGTCCAGGTAGTTTTAACGCCTTACGATAACGGCCGCGTTTTCACATGTACGGAGCTTAACCCTGCGACGTTCAGGACGCAGAACTGTTCAATCAAGCCGATGAATATTTTTCCTACGGCTACTATACTTCCCGGACTACCAACAATATCAGCAGATAATGACATAACATTCGTTTGCAACGCGTCTGGCTTACCTAATATATCCAAATACGTGTGGATACATAATGGGCACGTGATAGCACGCGGCCTAATCTATCCAATGAAATACACCGTAGATGGACGAACATTGACAATTCGTGGCGTTGACATGTCAGACCATCAATCAAGTATTGTATGCCAAGCTTACGTTCAGTCTGGCATGTATGGTGTTGCAAGGACAACTATGGTCGTTCTACCGACTTTCCTCACTACAAGCACATCGCTTACCACGCCATTAACCATTCGACAAAGCACTCATATCATAACGGACGTAACAAGAGATATACCTTTAGAAAACGACGGCAACTATCCCATTAGTATATTCCCATTTAGTTTACCAGCAGTTGTAGCATCAGTTATTGGAATATCTGTTTTAATTATTATATCTGTAAGTCTGCTGATGTTTGTTTGTCTTCCAAGGCGCAAACCAATGCTTGAATTGCCTGATGTAACGGCTAGACGCGGAAGGAGCCCAGGGACTTTTGTCCCATCCATTAGCCGTGGAATCTCCCACAATAATTTTCTTTATGCTGAACTATCGAACGAAATAGATTTACAAAAAACGGAACATGCTTGTGAATACTTGGGGCAGTCGTTACGCGAGGAGGAGGTACTTCAACCACTAATTGATGAACATTTTCATTTATATTCTTCCGAAACACAAAGTGCAGCTGAATCAGCTGTACCTCCTCCATTGCCTCCAAAGCCAACGCGACTGATAGCGCCAGATTTATACGCTGAGATTCCCGAAGAAATCTACCAGGAATGTGACGATTACATACTATACTGGGATACTGAGTTGCCAGTACGTTCAAGTAGTGAAACAATAGACAATTTCTTTCAGGAACCAGATTATATTGGTGATAAGATTCATGATAGTGCTGCATTGATAGTTGACTCAAACATACCTGGGTATTGTCAATCAAATAGCGCGAAGCGACGGTCTGGTAATGTATTGCCATGTGGGTGTGACGAAAAATCAAGAGCCACCTGCACTTCATATGCTAGGGTGAAAAAAACCAATAGAAAGTATAGGGCTAAAGGATTATATGGTGATTATACAATCGGGAATCTTGAAAGAAATCTTTTGATACCTTTGAAATGCGACGATCTAACATCTGCTGGGCTGTACGATGCTCATACGGAGTTATTGGACTTCCAAACGGAACGAGAACTCTGTTTAAACAAGTGTTACTCGGATCCAATATATGACGTCATTCCCGAAAATGCCATTCAACACCATCATCAGACAATGTTGCTGCCATCTAGCAGGTGTCGATCCAGACTAAGACGTAGTAAAAGTTGCCCTAAGAATAATCCATACGAGGATACAACAGACAAATTTAGGCACCCATTATCATTTGTTTCAGACTTGCGCGTAGCTGAGAGTGCGCCAGATCTTGTTCATGCGCAACTGAATACCAAAGGTCACAATTACGAAATGGTTCCGGAGAAAGCTTTGAATGCATTGTGTAAAGCTAAATCAGACGATATTCTTAGTAAAGCGTCATCGTACAGTAGTTCTGCTGGGGATTCAAGTGATTACGTGGACATGGGTTCTAATGGAGTCAATGATTATATCTGACACAAAAATAATATTTTAATTTCCTCCCTCTGCTATTTAAGTTACTTTCTACCCCTGAGTAGAATTAACCATGAAGCTAGAAGGTACATTTATTGAAAATGACCACTATCAAAGCTAGCGATAAGAATTTTCAGATTTGGCTTTTTAACTTCGTCCACTCATAATCATGAACTTAATTTGATTTTTTTAATTGATTATGTTAGTGGCGCCTACAAATCTGGTGGATCACATTCCTTATAATTAACTTTCATTTCTTTTATTTACAGGTTATTGAAAGTGGCAATTTTACAAATTTCACCGGAATTTTGTTTTTATAATTATGACTGAGATTAATTTAACCACAACTTTAAAGATTTGAGAAATTGTACAATAGTATAGTTAAGAAAAAATTGACGTTAGCTTCCTAGGTAAACTTTACTTCAATTATAGTCGATATTGCTGTATAAATAAGTTGTATTAGTAAAAGCACTAACATACTCAAAACATCTTTAAAACGTTAAACAATTAAACAAATGTTAATATAAACAATAAAGTATGGAGGTAGGCCGATGCTAAAGTTTTTCATCCTTCTTAATGTAAAGTATTTTTATATTATAATTTTACAAGCAACCATTACGGAATTTTTTTTTCTTATTTATGTATCAATTCATGTTCTTTACGTGGAACACTATTCAAAGTAGGTTTTTTTATTTTGTATAACGCTTTTAAAGGCCTTCTTTGCATACTTTATTGTTTTTGTTTACTTAGGTTTTTTTCAGTCTTGTGCGAATTTATTTTCTTTTGAATTATATATATATATATATATATATATATATATATATATATATAATCTATAT